AGAGAGAGAGAGAGAGAGAGAGAGAGAGAGAGAGAGAGAGAGAGAGAGAGAGAGAGAGAGAGAGAGAGGATATGCGATATTGTGAAGGATTCTGTCTTGTTCACGTTCTTTCTGTGCAGGTATTGCCTGGACCGCGCACATTGCAGGTGGTAATCTTGTCCATTTGGTAAGAGGCATTCTGAATATCCTCAGAGATGATTGTGCTACTTTGCTAGCACTTGCACCCTCCTCCACACTTCACACAATGCGTCTTCTGAATCCCTGGACTGGAGCCGCAACAGCTCTGAAGCAGTTGACAGGAGCTGTAACCGGATGAATAATCTAACAAGGACAGTGCCACCAATTCTGACTCGTGTGCTAAGTGTGTTCCTGGGACTTCATTCCTATGCACACGCAAACAGCCTCCTAGCCTCACGAGGAGTCTTCTCTGGTTCAATATCCAGTCCTCTCCTTAGTTTATGCTTGTGGTGTGGGTGCATTGTTCACGTCCGTTCCAGAAAAAATACAGGCAGAATTCCAATCACTCAATCAGCCGCTCTCACACTTTTACCGCACTGGACCACTGGTCCACTGGTAGATTTTCGTTTCTGTTAACTAGTGGGTTCCGACTTTCCACATAGAAAGTAGGTGCTCTTAGTATCTTGGGAGGAATGCATCCTCTGATCCTGCTTCAGACTTGGATCAGTTTTGCATTCGCAGTACGTGTATAGGACTGCAAAATTTTAGATGCTGCCGCATAAGGAAGCAGATGTGAAAATTCTGAGATTCTAAGGAGTGCTCAGAATTTCAAGGCTGCTTGTTTCAAACTCTTGTATGCTGTTCGCCCATCTTGGGGGATGCTTCCGCTACCTTTAAAGAGGGAGAAAGCAAAGAATTGGTCAATTGGAATGTGTCTTCTGATATTCAGAGGTCAGCAAGTTAAAACTTTCCAAACCTGTTGCCAAATCATTCAGAGACATGGCTCGGCTGGTGCAAAGTTCACCGCTGTTGCTTCCCCATTATTCATCCAGCAAACGTGTTTCGTGTCCCCCACAAAAGTGAAGGATAACTCTCTCTTTTGAAGTCGGAAATGGGTCGCTTTCCTCTCCGCTTCATCTAGTCCCCTCGTTGCAGTTGGAGTTGTCCCTCCTTTAGGGGTAAAATGTTTACGTTCGGCAATTCATCTGGGTAGTATGAGTCACGTCACCTTTTTACTTGCTAATCCCTTTGCAGGGATGAACTCAAAACGCGACTGCATGATGGCAAGAACCTCTGTGGGAAGCATAAGGAATGCATTCATGAAGTGATCATCGACACGTGGCACCGTGGCGATTCCCACCAGCTTGCAATTCCCACTCGCATCAATTCTTTTGCCCACGCCGCCCCTCATGGACCCTCGTGCCGTCTCCGTAGTGAGCGTGGTCTCCACAAGCAAAGGTGGAGCTTTATACAAGCTTCCTACAGTGAACAGAAACTGGGCCAGGAAATTGAGCTCTACCTTTCCAGTCGAACGGTCCATGTATCCTTCCAAACTCTTGGATTGGATGTCGATACGAAGAGGGGGAGGAATTGGGATCCCCAGAAACTTGGCGGTGTCCCACTTGACTGGAGGGATGAGGAGGTGGTCGCAATCGAAACGCAAAGCGATCCTATCGTCCGATTGATCGACTGCCGTCCCTATGCCACCTGCTCCCCCTGCGTTGTATTCAAAATCTGGATAAACAGACACCCCAAGGTAGCAGTTGTCGCCAGTTGTCATCTTGACGATAGAACCCTCCGTTCCGAGAGGAGGGATGCTTAAGGATTGATATCCTTCTCCTTCTCCCTTCCCTCCTATCTGATCGACGGTACGGGTGGTTTCCCTGGTCCCCGCTGCAGAGGCAAACCTTGATTGCTGAAGCATCATCTCCCAGACTAAAGACAAAGACAAGGTCCCAACAGAGAGAAACCAGCGACGAGGGACTTGAAACCGCGGGAACGACTTTCCTGGGAATAAAAATGAAAATGGAACCAGCCGTGCGGGGCTGGCCGGAAAAGAAACTGCCGCTGGAGGTGGCTCCAAGGTTAGTGACAAGTCAATCACACTGCCATTGGTTTTTCTAAAACGGCCTTCTTGTCCTCCACCTTCTCCTTCTCCTCCTCCTCCTCTTTCCTCTCCTCCATCACCTCCTCCGTCACCTCCTTCTCCGCTTTCTTCAGGATCTATCCAATGGCTCATGCCCTCACAACTCAAAGCTGTGTTCAGATCAGGTTGTTGAAGGTCCCGTCTCAGTCTAGAAGAGCACCGCAGGATCCCCTCAGCAATCGTGCGGTGCTGAACCACTTTCCATGTGGCACCTGGATGCTTTGCCCCGCGGCGGTGTGAGTATGATCTCCAACTCTCTCCACTCCCAATGGCTGTAAAACAGCAATGGAGTACTTGGGGTTCCGGACGTTGTTGCTGGGGCCGCCACTGCCGCTCCGACTTCACTTCCCAGTAAAAGCCGGGCTTCGTCGATTTCACCCGCTTTGCCGACATCGCCAACTTCGTCAGTCCTGAAAACTGCTTGAAGGGCCATTGGAAAAGATCCTTCGAACAGGAGGTGGCCCTGATGCTTCTCGAAGGTCTGAAGACGGCAACAAGGGGACATTGCCCAGCAGAGGACCATGGAAGGAATGATCTACTGTTCTTCGCAAGCGGTAACGTCAACGTGGGCTTAGCCGCATTATCGCGGCTGAATACCAGGCGACCTTGGCTCAGATAGGGACTCTCCCTCGAGGCATCCCACAAAGCCACACGTTGTCCAGTGATAGCTTGCGCCATTCTCTAGGGTTGTCTGATTGCAACGGAAGTGGGTTCGCTGCCAGTATACCTGGCAGCAAAACAGCAGAATCGCCAGCAGCAGCCCTTTGAACAGATGGAGCCTGCAGCCACACTCACCTGCTTCTGCTGCATCAGCGGGCGAATGACGTCAGATTTCCTCAGTGTGAATGGTCAGGAAATGAGGAGAAAGCACCGATTAACTGACGAATTGACACGTTCTTACTAGGTGCTAAGGGAGAGATCAACATACAGGCAGACAGATGTGTAGTTGAGAGGGGCCGCAAAACGAAGCGAAAAAAAAAGGCCCATTGGCAAAAGGAAATGACAAAACCAACTCAAATTACTACATTTCATCTAATGACTTTCTCAACACGGTGCAGTTACTCTCTGTCTCTCTCTCTCTCTCTCTCTCTCACACACACACACACACACACACACACACACACACACACACACACACACACACTACTCCCCATCACAATCCCAGGTCACTTTGTGCCCCTACTGCAAGGAGGTCCCACTTACCAGGATTCTTCATTTCTGACCATAGGTTACAAAGATCAATGGAGGAATGATGGGTCTGCAGAGGTGGGACCATGGCCCCAGGTAGTCATGTGTGGTCAGGTTCAGGGAATGTGGCTTGGATTTGAATCTCTGGTGAGAGATCATCAGGACAAGTCATGGCATGTCGTCAGAAATGGGGAATCTTAGTTGGGCCATCATGGATGGTCATCCACGATCATACAAACCCAAATACATAACCCCCACCAAGAAATTGCAAACGCATAGGTGAAAGGGGCCCTCTCTGATGGGCAAACTCTAGGCCCATTGAAATGGTTTTATTCAACCCACCAGTACTTTTCCCAGCCCTTTTTCTTTTTTTTTTTTTTTTTTTTTTTTAGAGCCGTAAATGCCTCTTGACCTTTGGGGCTCCGCACACTGGATGGGAATGCCTGCAGCACCAGGCGAAAAAAAAAAAGAAAACTAAACTGTCTGCAGACTCTGCAGCTCACAGCAGAAATCCGTGTTCGAAGCCGAACCTAAGGTCTTCGCGCAGAAGTGGATCTATAACCATTCACTGCCAGGCCGGTACATTGAAACTGTGGCCTGATTGCATATGGCCGCCAGCGACGGAGGAGGGAGCTCGTACTGGTGGGTTGATTGTTTCTCATCAATATGTTTTCTAACTTTTCTTCTGTCAATCACACCTACTGAAAAGTGCAACAAATCGCCTTAGAAGATCCCATCGCCTTTAATTCAAGTTACCTGCAAATCAAGGAGGCCTGGGGCATGATCTGTGCAGGGCCCGAATCATAATCATCCAGGTACACTCTGAAAGCTCTAAGGCAGCGGTCTCCTCTCCAAAGTTGCACACCAGGCATGGAAGTCACCTTTTCTTTTCAAAATAATCTGGACCATTTCTGGATTCAGGTGCATCATCCTTTCATTAGAAGTCATGATTATTATTATCTCCTAATCTTTCCAATTGTAAGGTGTAAGTTGTAACAGACATCCTAAGGGATAATGGAATTCACCTTTGTTTTTATTTTCCTTCTTTTTCCTTCCGTTTTTCCGTTCGTTTTGCTTTTTTTCCCTTCAAAAAAAAAGAGAAAAAGAAAACGCCGACAGAGGATTTCATTACCATATAAGCACTTGGAGGCCGAGAATCCCTCCACATCTCAACCCGGGCTACTGGGGCCATTATCCAGCTTCGGCTTGGCTGGAAACCAGGTCCAGGGTGCCATTCAGACGTTCTTTTTTTTTTGAAGCAATGATAGTCCACACACAGTATACACACTGTTTATTAAACTCAGAGTCTCGAAATGTCAGAATAACCCCGGAAACATGGTGTGCTGCTCAGAAATGAGCAGCGCTTCACTCCCCAAGTGTGAGTAACCGCTATTACTACCCCTGAGTCCCTGAAACAACCAGCGCCACCCCAGATACTGCCTCCAGAGGGAAGCGCCACCCTGAAACAGGCCTCTGAGGCCAAGCGCCTCTCAGAGGACGAAGAAGAAGACCAGCACCACAGTGTCTGATGATGATGAAGTGCCAGAGGACTTCCCGGGTGGAAGCCTGTAGCAGCGCCACCTCTCCTGCCAAAGATGAGCTCTGAGGATGAAAGCTGCAGCTATGGCTGCGGCGCCACACACCCTGATACCCTACTCCTGCGGAGGGTTCAGCAGGGCACCAACTTCTCTTGCCTCCAGCAGACTTCAGATAGGCTGGACCTCTGAACAGCCCCACATGCTGTCAGAGCACAGCGCAGGTCCCAGCTATGGCCGACACTTCGCAGGTCAGGCTATGTCTGTCTCCTCCAACGCTGAAGCTACGTTCTTTCCATTTCTTTCTTCCTCTTTTTTCCCTTTTTTTCTGAGGGGGGGCCACTGTGGAGCCATGAGATCCGCTTCTATCTGCCCAATGAAATCAATCTGATTCCACCAGGATTTGAACTCATGATACTTTCATCTACAGGTATAATGCAAACATTCTGCCACACTGAAATTGGTGTTTTCCCTTCTCCAGTCTCTAGTTGGGTCCAACATGCTCCAACCAACAACTTTCTCTTATTCTCCAGCAGCTCTGATATTTTCTCTTCTGACTTTTTTCCTGGAGGTCCTGGTCAACTCCTGGCGGCAGCTTGACTGGATTAACACTGTTCTAGGTCAGAGAGCCCAGGTGCGTTCTTTTTTTTTTTTTTTTTTTTTTTTTTTGCGTGTCATCCTTGCGCAGGGGCCATGCTAATCTTCTCTGTATCGTTCCAATTTTAACGGATGTCCCGAAGGACGTGCCCAGGTGCATTCTAATTGTTTGTTCCATTTTGTTTTTTCTTTTTTCTTTTGAGAGAATTTGCTCTGGTCTATCTAGGCCAGGCACATCCCAAAAGGTCTAATGGTTCCGGCATTCTCAATCTGAACTCGACTGTTAGTGGGCCTTCCCCAAGACTTCAACTATCCCCCAACTCTCTCCGACTTGTTCGACTTATACAGTCACAGGGTGTTTACCATTTACCCACCGGGAGTCAGGGCCTACCTGCTTCAACGCCTCATTCGTGGCCGTCAATTTACGTAATGTAGTCTGTGTGTGTTCCCGGCGGTTTTGGCTTATTTTGAGGTTTTGCCTGTGGGCTTGAGGGTTTTTGGTTGAATTGGGATTCGCGGAGCTTGTGCAGGGCATTTGTGTACGATATGGGGGAATGGTGTAGAGGCGGTGAGAAGGGGGAGCCTCGAAGAGCCCAATTTCCCATGCGCTGGGTCTTGGGGTAAAGTCGCAATGATGGGAAACAATATATGTGGATGAGAGTCAGGCGACGGACATAAAGGGTTCGTTCTCCAAGGGGCACCGACCGCGACATACTCCAAGAGGGATCCACTACGGCTATCGGCAGGTGACTATTACGTTTGCGGCTTCAGCAAGGGTTGTTTGACGTCCACCACATGGTGCGAGAATGACGCAGCTTCTGGTGGTCCAGGTGAGACATTGACGGTCAGTCAAGTTGTATAAGACCAGCAGGTGTGTAGGCAGGCAGGCAGGGGTGCAGCCACTATGCTGATGATGACCCGGTGATGTGTGTGCCTGAAAGAATTTCCGTAACCTATGTGTGCGCAAGGGTCGTGCCGCTCGTGCGTACGTGTGCGTGGTAACCGGGCTGACCACGTGGCATAGTGCGTGAGTGAGGGTGCGCGAGCAGGTAAGGGGCTCGGGCATGCCTATTAAAAATGTGTGCCCAGGCGTGTCCATGGGATTATGCGTCATGGTGGGGGGCCTTGCATGTGTATGAGTGCGTGCGAGTGTTGACTGGGCGATAGGGGCTTTTTTATTCACCCCTGGGCCAGTAATGTGGCGGGCCACTTTGCGAAGGCACACTTGCAAGTTCTGGTAGGTGGCTTTGTGTCCTTAGGCTCGCGTGAACTCATGGTAACTTGAAGGTGGTTTCTTTTCTTTGGGGGGTTTCTATCTGGTCAAAGGCAGGTCCGCGTTGGAGGCCTGGGGAGCGTGGCATCTTGGGGAGAACGGTGCAGGGGAAAGAGGGCAGGTACGAACCATGGGTCCGTAAGAACAGTGAGAAATCTGGGACAGGGATCTGACCGTAGCCAGATGAACGGCCAGATGAAGAAAAAATTGCAGTGGATAGTGGGCAGGACAACCTGAACCGGGGCATGCTCACACTAGGACTTTTTCTGCTGAGCTCCGGACTTGATTGCAGTCAGATTCGTCCAAGTGTGGCCTTAGTTGCAGTCAGCAAAGTATATTGGTGTGACCATGCCTTCAGACCAGAAAGAGAGAATGGGGGGATGCGATGAACCTGGTTTGGAAAGAGGGGAACGTACGGTCATGGAAAAGTAAATGAAGAGAGGAGGGACTTCTTGGGCCTGAGAAGATATCTGACTGTTGAGATGTAAATGGCCAGATAACTGGGTAGACAGCAAAAATGGACGTATCTAGCCCATGAAAGAAGGTGGGTGCAGAAGAGGATGGAGAGGAGGAGAGGGTTGTTGTTGGGACAGGGGAGCATGCATGTACAGAGAGACAGTTCTTGATAACCGTCAAGAACTGCCTCTTTACATCTTGAAGGTGCGCATGTGCATGCGCCAGTGGAAGACGTGAGAGAGGAGATCAATGAGAAGAACGAGAGGGCTCAATCGGAAGGTGGAAAGGAGGGGAAGAGCGAGCAGGAGGCGGGAGGAGAGGACAGGCCACGGCAGGGCAGCACCTGGTCGAGCTGGGCCCGCAAATGGTTGGACCTGATCGGAGGAGAGAAAAGGGAGGAGAGGGTGACAGAAGGGAACTTTTCGCCTGGGAGGCGTGGACAGCGGATGGATAACGCACGTAGAGCAGCACACGAGGTATTTAGCGCACCTAGGGAGAACACGCACACGTTGGAGAGGCAGAGCACAGCAGAGGAGAGCAGCACACTAGGAGAAGCATACGAGGGGAGGAGGGAGAAATGCACAAAGCTAGCAGAGGAGAGAGAGCCGGTGCGAGAGAGAGAGAGAGAGAGAGAGAGAGAGAGAGAGAGAGAGAGAGAGAGAGAGAGAGAGAGAGAGAGAGAGAGAGAGAGAGAGAGAGAGAGNGAGAGAGAGAGAGAGAGAGAGAGAGAGAGAGAGAGAGAGAGAGAGAGAGAGAGAGAGAGAGAGAGAGAGAGAGAGAGAGAGAGAGAGAAGGGGGTGTACACAAGCTCCGTTTCCC